ACCCAATGCGGGAAGAGACCGAAATAGCTGGCAACGTTTGCGGCTCACTTTGTCAGCATTGGCGCTCATTCGCTAATTGCAATCACGACGCCCGCATGGGACTTAGAGGACGCGTACGAAGACGGGCGCGGTGTTTGACACGAGCAATCTTGAACGATGCTGTAGGGCTCTTGTGAATGTTTCGGTGGGTTACGAGATGACAGTGGGAAATGTGGAATTTAACGTGAATTCAATTGATTGTGGACCCTTTGTTCTAAGTGAAACAGATGTGGTTATGTTCTTCTACTCGAATACAATCAGTAGAGCAGGAATCAAGTATGGTAAAGTCGCCATGTAAACACCCGCTTTTTAGTCGTTTCGTGTGGATGTTGGCAATGCGTGTAGAAGTGCGTTCACCACGCTCACGTGAAGAGTTTTGCTGCGATGCTGGACGTGTTGGAGACTTCTGTCAGAATACGCATGCGATTACTACAGTAAATGCCCACTGATGCAACGGGCTTAACTAGATTTGCTATGACTTTGTCGTTACTGAAGCAGTATCAGGCGTAACCGCCACGGTAGATGTACACAGGATTCATGATCGCAAGGAGTTGAGTGTGGAATGCTTACATCTCCAGCACAAGCGCTGTGTTTCACCTGTTGACTACCTTCAGGTTCTGCAGGATAGTTGGAGAGCCGAGGAAGGCGATGAAACGTCCGTCAGTGCACTTCAGTAGCGCGTTCTCGTGTGGTATTATTTCCGAGCCATTTGATAGTTGGAGAACAAGGCTTGAGATGCTGAGCTGCAAACGTAGCCATCAAGCTACGAAAAGGTGTTGACGTGGCGGTTATGATTTATCACTGTAGACGATAGAATGTTCCTTGCGTGTGTTGGACAGTTCATACTCTTGCCAATTCACCCAACATCACGTAACTGAACAAATTATTCTCTGGACTAGCAGGAGGCACAACTGTGTCGTATAAAGCACCGACATGAAGATAACGGTGCAGTTGCAACATACGCTACTCGCCAGAAAATAATAATTGGAAAGATGTGGAGAATCGTGATACACGCGAATCCTACCAGTGTACCAGTCGACTGCATAGCACCAACGTAGCTTTGAACAAAGACGCAATCTGTATCTCGTGTCAATGCTATCTTAATGAGCTGTTTATGCATTGGGACGTGACTAAGAACAGAGTTGTTGATTGGAAAGAGAGACCAGGGTGTCCAGTGTTATGCGTGTGGTAAGTCACGCTAGTTGTCCATTGTGAAAGCGTTCTGGTAGACCGGGCAGGTTGGCCACCTCGAGGACCTTCTTACGTGGATGTGCAGCTCAGCTCAACTGCGTCGGTCAGCTCAAGACGGAAGCCACATCCGTGCCTGTGGTGTCAGTGGTGGCCACGACCTCGATTTGGAGAAGGCGTGAAGAAACAAGAAAAATGATATCAGTTCTGTGGAGTGGGGTATGCAGAATAACG